AGAAAGCTATACCCAAACCGAACCAATTAATGAACAAATAACTCCCAGAGGATTTGACCCTACTGATAAACCCTCGGAGGAAGACAAGTAGAGATATGTCACACAGAGAAGGAAACACAATACTCATAGAAAGAAGCAGGATAAAACTAACAAACCCCTTCTGCCCAATTCAACCCAACCAGAAACAGCCCCACTAAAACTGAGCAATTGATTTCTTCCTTTAGATCAGGCATATCAAACTCGCAATGTCACGTGATGTATCGTGACTTTTTCCCCATTGCCAACAATAGTGTGGATGCAGTTTTGGCATGATGCATCCAGCCCGCAGGCTGGCAGCCTGTCTTAGATGGAAACACGCAGACCCACAACCTCCCCATCAAAGAAAACATGCAAAGAAACAACTTCAAATATCCCTAAAAAGTAACTTCAAATATCCCTTAAAAAGTCACATCAACAAACACACCAGAGATAAACAGAAAAGCACCTCGGACTGTAGCCCCCCAAAAAGGAAGGCAAGTGTTGGTTGGTAATAGGAGATTCTATTCTCAAAGGAATGGAACCAGTCATCTGCAGACCGGACACACAATCTAGGGAGGTATGTTGTCTCCCTGGAGCAAAAATCAAAGATGTGGTTGAGAACCTAACCAAAATAATTAGGCCTACTGATTACTACCCTTTTCTTCTCCTCCACATTGGGATGAATGACACAACAAAGAACCTGAATACAATAGTGAGAGATTACAAACAACTAGGCAATAAAGTTAAGAAGCTAGGAGCACAAGTAGTGTTCTCATCTGTACTCCCCAAAAAAAGACCAATATCCACTGACAGAAAAAATAATTCTAGAAATATACCATTGGCTAAAGGATTGGTGTTGCCAAGAAAACTTTGGTTTCCTGGATCATGGACTGCATTTCCTATGTGAAGGACTCCTAGCAAGGGATAGGCTGCACCTCAAGAAAACAGGGAAAAATGTACTTGGAAAAAGACTGGCCCAACTCATCAGGATAGATTTAAACTAAAATTGAGAGGGGAGGGTGACCAAATGCAATCATAAAAGCCCAGACCAGCACAATACCACTGAAAAAGAGAAACAAGAAATTCAAGAGGAAACCAGCATGGCTGCAAAAAGATCTCTCTGACAAACTGAAAGACAAAAAGGACAAATACAAAAAATGGAAAGAGGGGCACGTAACTAAGGTTGATTATCAGCAGACAGCTAGAACATGCAAAGATGAAGTCAGGAAAGCAAAGGCTCAGAACGAACAAAGACTTGCAACAGAAATCATGGATAATAAAAAAAAGTTTCTTCCAACATATTAATAACAAGAAAAAAGTCAAGGAAACTATAGGTCTACTAAAGAGAGAAGATGGCAAGGAAATAACAGGCAACAGGGAGAAAGCAGAGTTGCTTAACTCATACTTTCGTCAGACCTTCAAACACTCTGAATACAGCCATGTTTCTTCATTTTTTGGATGCCACAGCAATGGAAGGGGGAAGACTGCATTCTTATAGTTTAGTCAAAACAATAACTTTCTTGTGGAAACCAAGGTCAAGCAGCTTAAGTGGCGGGCTGGAGCTACCGTTAGGCAGCCCGCCAAAGGTGTTAATTGGGGATTGTGATTTATGACACATCAATAAATGGGGAGTTCAACTTTTACTTTTTAATCTTTTGGGGGAGATAACTTTCAGTCTTGGTTTCACTTTTGTTCATGCTGATATTATGTAGCCATTAAAATTGTTCTTTGAGAAAAGCAATTGCCTCAGAGTTCTTATTTCTTCTGGTCTCATTTATTGGAACCATGATATTAAACCAAGACTCCAAATTTCATTTATCCATGGGGTCCTGAGCCCCAGTCACCTATCCAAACCTTGAGAGAATGACAAAGGGAAGATGCAGAGATGGAAAAGAATCAATCCCAAGCCTGGGGGCAGCTGCAGCGGATGAGACACAGGCTGCTACTTTTGTGGAAAGTGTGGTCCTGGCAGCTGGAGCTAGACTAAAGTCCCATGAAGTCTCAGTGGAGAGGCTGACTCAGAAGGAGGAAGTCATCATCCTTGCAGGGACTTGGTGGTCTGATGCTGCATTGCTGCTAAAGAGTACACTGAGGGCTACAGAGGTTGAATTCCCATTGATTTCATCACAAGATCTCCCTTCATCTGTACTGATGAAGGCAAAGTGGCCAGCAGCCTGGGACGAATCTGGTGAGTGGAAGTATCTGATGGCCATCTACAGCCACTCAGTGGAACGCCTAAGGGAGAAGTTCGATCGGCTGGACATGGGCAAAGGGCGACAGGGTACCCGTCAGATATTTACAGGTGGGCGAGAGAATAAGTGGTCGCTGGAACCTCTGCTGCTCCAATGAAGCTCTAGCCCTGTGGTGATTGAGTGGACCATCTCCCCACTACCAAAGCCTGACCTGACATCGAGCCCAGTGCAATGGCGGAGCCCCAACCACCATCAATGCCAGGCCAGTCTGGATCGACCCCAACGACAGGCCAGTCCTGAATATTACAGACATTCCATCAGTCCTAAGGGACGCAGGTGTCCTCTTAGCCCAGATTGGCACTGTCGTTCACCTAGCCCCGGTCATTACCAAGCCCTGAGTGCTATTGGCGCTATGCTAGCCCCAATCACCATTGGCATCCTGCCAGCCCGAGGCCTCCACCAGGAGTTTTCCAACGAGGGGGATTATAGCGCCCCAGCCAGTTCTCTGACTTACTGCAAGCTCTATGGTATTGCTGCCCACCTGACCTACCTCCTCTTAAACCCACTTTTGATGGAGACCCCGGGAAGGTGACCATCTTCCTAAACCAGGTGTGGTCTCATGTTAATCGTTATGTATGGGCTTATTTGGATGAAGCCGAGATGATTGATGCCATAGCTGCCAACTTGGAGGGGGAGGCTCCAGAATGGGTGGCTGTTTTATAAGAGGAGCAAGCGCCCAAGCTATGGAAGTTCAATATGTTCACACATGGACTGAGAGCCAAATTCAAGGATGAATCCCAGGCAGTACAAGCAGAAAAAGACCTGCATGATATGAAGCAGAGGGTTGGCCAATGAAAGAATACATAAGAGAATTTTGAAGGTTGGCAGGGAGAATCAGGCAATGGCCTGAGCAGTCATTGATCCACTATTTTAAAGCAGGATTGGATCGCAACCTATTCTAGACATGCATCTGCAGAGGCAATCCTAATCAAATCCATGATTGGTACCGCTTAGCTACAGACATGGTTATCGAGTTGACCCAGTACCACAAACCTGCTGCTTCAGGACCGCAACCAAAGCGAGACCCGGTGAGGCATCAATAGTCACAGCGGCCTCCACCCATCACAATGCGTGGGTCCGTTCGAGCCTCCCCTGGACCCCAGATTAAGTGCTTCAGATGTGGACAACCTGGGCATCGAGCGGCAGAATGCCCAGTTCCTTTCCCTCCATCAAAAAGTGCGCCCGCAGCTCTGGTGAAACCTAGTTATAACTAGTAGCCAGCACTTGTTTGTTAAAAACAGATCATGCCAAACCAATCTTATGTTATTCTTTGATTAAGTAACTAAACTAGTAGACCAGCGAAATGTTGGGGCTGTAGTATACTTAGACTTCAGTAAGGCATTTGATAAAGTAGACTACAACCTACTCGTTGGTAAGCTAGAAAAAGGTGGAATAGACAACATCACCACCAGATGGATCTGTAGCTGGCTAACTAACTATACTCAGTGAGTAGTCCTCAACGCACTACATCCGCATGGAGAGAAGTAAGCAGTGGGGTACCACAAGGTTCTGTCTTAGGCCCAGTACTCTTCAATATCTTCATAAATGACTTAGATGACGGAATTGAAGGGGAACTCATCAAATTTGCAGATGACATCAAAGTGGCAGGAGTAGTCAACACCCCAGAAGACAAACTCAGGATCCAAAAAGATCTTGACCAACTTGAACAATTGGCCCTATCCAACAAAATGAGTTTCAGTGTGGAGAAAAACAAAGTCTTACATTTAGGCAGGAAAAATCAAAGGTACAAGTACAGATTGAGCAAGACCTGTCTTAAAACAGTAACTGTGAGGGGGACCTTGGAGTCCTAGTGGACGATCACTTAACCATGAACCAGCAGTGTGCAGCAGCAGCCAAAAAAGCTAATAAAATCCTGTGTTGTATAAATAGAGGCATAGTATCAAGATCATGTGAGGTACTAGTACTGCTTTATAAAACCCCAGTAAGACCACACCTGAAATACTGCAGCCAATTTTGGTCACCATATCAGAAAAAGGATGTTGAGAATTTGCAAAAAATTTAAAGAGCAACCAAGAGACTAAAACATACGAAGAATGGCTGCAGGACTTGGGTTTGGCTAGTCTAAAGAAAAGAAAAAATAGGGGAGACATGATAGCGGTATTCCAGTATTTGAGGGGCTGACACAAAGAAGAGGGGGTCACCTTATTCACCAAAGCACCAGAGGGCAGGACAAGAAACAATGGTTGGAAACTGATCAAAGAGAGAAGCAACCTGGAATTAAGGAGAAACTTCCTGACAGTGAGGACAATTAACCAGTGGAACAGCTTGCCTCCAGAAATCGTGGGCACTCCCATCATTGGAGATTTTTAAAAAGAGGCTAGATAGTCATTTGTCTGAGATGGTAGAGGTTCTCCTGCTTGAACAGGGGGCTGGACTAGAAGACTTCTACCTCCTTCCACCTCCATTCTATTCAATCTCAGTTATTTATGCCAGCCCAGCCCTCTCATGTACAATAAATATGTCTCAGTTGCAGGCTGACCTGGTATTTAGCAGTAGCAGCTGCTGCTGCTAGAGACCAGGGCAACTAAGGATCCAGAAACTTTGTTCTGAGGATTCAGCCATTGTTATGTTGTCTGCTTGATTCAATAAAGCAATTTGACTTACATTAATAATGTATTATAGCAAGAAAGATAATGAAAGTAGTATGATTTAAACTTAAAAGAAAAGATTTCTCCATTCCCACAACCATCAGTGAAGAGCTGAGCTTACCATTTCGACCGTTCTGCTTCAGTGTGTTTGCTGACAGCTGGATGGTGCTGCCAAAGCCAGTATTCTGTGGAAATTTAAGATCTTCCAGGTTTCCATCTGTGCTTAGCCTTGCAACTTCCAGCTCTATTAGTATGAAAAATGGAATGTGTGTAAATGCAACGTATTGATAATGCATTATAGGACAAAAGGAGGAAGAACAGTTTGTTCAAATCAATGTGCCTTAAATAGAGGGGTTAAATAGGATATATATATATATACCGTAGGATGGAATATATACATACCATATATTGTTCGACATTTACTAAAACAGTAGGGATTGTGAGGAGCTCACCAAATATTACCTTTCAACAATTTTTTCCCATTGCAAATTGGACATGGGAAAATTGGCTGGAAGAAGGAAGTCAATTCCTAGCAAGAATTTCACCCACTGAAACATAAGGATGTAGTGACAGCCGAAGGACAAAAAAAGGTGGTGATATTCTTTCTCTTAGATGATTAGCTGGCAAATGAACACAAACTTTTGCAAGGCAGAGAAAATTCATTAAACATGCTTATATTCAGGTTCTGTGATATAGAAATGTGGCAATATCTTCTGTATTTTTGAATCTTAAGCAATATAGGAGGATTGTCTTTTTGGCATGGCAGAATGATATCCCTTTATCTGAAGCATTAGCCATGTTTCTCCAAAGGATAAAATGTGCTTTGAAATGAGCTTAGTTTTATGAGCACCATACAAGTTATAATTTATCATTTTAGACTTAAACACAAGCAAAATAACCAAATCAATCCATATCAAAATGTCATAATTTCCATGATAAGGCAACATTTTGTTCCAAAGACTCTGTCAGCTTTCTATAGAAATTGTGTTTCCACATATTTCAGATATTCAGTAATATTCCTATTACAACTGGGAAACTCTTCATTTGATCTGGCAAAATGGAGGCTCATAGTTTTATCTCAATCATATGCAATAAAACTATTTTTTCTCCTTAGCAACTATCCATCACACTGAATAAGAATACAGATTCAACTCATCCTGGCTAACAGAACCATATAGCCTACATAGGATACTTCTGTAGAAGAAATTGCTAGAGAAGTCAACTAGTTTCTCTCAATATTACAAATTATATATATTTAACAATATGGCAATCTGATGAGTTAATTTATTGTAGGAAAGTTAATAAAGCTAACAAAATAATTCAAATGGTTCTTATGTACCAAGTGAAAGTATTATTTATAATGAAATCAAAGTTCAAACTTTTGCACTGCTTTCTCCCACCAACATGGTATAAGACTACAACATTATCTTTGGGGCAGAAGGGACTATTTCCAGCTGTCTCTTGTTTTAGTAGTGAATTAATCTGATCCCAGGCTGACTGCTTGCAATGATATGAAACCTGATGATGGCCCCAAAACATAGCAGATAATTGGTGAGTTATTAGCTAACACTAGAAAGGTTTTCTTCTCTGAACTGGCATGAGAATGGATTAAGAAGGTATTAGGCAATGTTATCAGGGCATATGAAAATAGAAACACATTTTATTGAACAGGTGCAAAATATATTTTGTTCAGAGACATTAATGAATTGCAAACATGCATAAAAGGCAAAAGTGAAAGCTTTTGTACAAGACAGAGCTCCCAAATAAATCTTGTCCATAGAAGATTGGGGTTTTGCTTAGGTCACTCTGAATGTCAGTGGTAAAGGCCCTTTGTATCATCAACTCAGATCAGATCAAATTGTCCCATATGATGGCCATAGAGCTGCCAAAACAAGACAAAAAATAGGAAATTTTATTCCAATATTTTAAGCAGCAACTGCACATGATAGCTAGGCTAGATTCCAGTCTCAGAAAGGAATCTGATACAGAATGGGACACTTGCCACAAGCTCTAAAATTTTTTGATTGAACAACATCTCTAGAGCTTTATTGGAATAGAAAAACACCTATGTATATAAAACAGGTGGCTAATGATCCTGGCTCTGATGACTTCCATTGCAGCTGGAATATGGTTATTGCTGTGACAGTTAGTAATATGCAGAATTGCATTTGAGAGATTATATGTCCTAGTAGTAACATCTCTTTGCTGATGATACCAGGTCATCATGGTTTGGAAGGATATGTCCAAGTGTTTAAAAACCTTAATTTGATACATTCTGAAGCTTTGATTTTCTAGGAATGATAGATAGAATATATCTTTTGTCCAGTGCTTTTTTTCTAAAAAAAAAAAAAAAAAAAGGTGCTGGAACTCACACATGTTATACAACCTGCCTTGCCTATCCTACAAGGTTCCATCCAAAAAAGGTGCCGGAACTCTGTTCTGGGCGTTTTATGAGAAAAAAAAAAGCCCTGCTTTTGTCTATTTTAGTTTTGTTGTAGCTAATGATTAGTTCCTCTGCAATAATGGACAAGAGTACAGAGGTCGCATCTCAAACTCATATATGCTAGAAGGAGCTGCACTGTCCACTTATAAAACTCTGAGCGTGTAGGAAGTTATGAAGATTCTTGGCAGCTCCTGTTTTTTAAATTCTGGTTTTACTATATTTTTATTAGTTTTACTTGTTCACTGCCTTGCATTACGTATATGAGATGGGCAGCCATATAAATCTATTAGATAGGCCAAAAACAGGTCTACTGCTGAGCATGGCTGGTAGTGGGGAAACTGAAGTTTTATCAAAACCTAGACCACTGAACAAATATAAAAACTAAGTAGTAGGGGCACCAAAATGCAACTTTGCACAACCACCTCTTTATGAATACACATTATAGGCACCCTAAAGCAGGGATCCCCATCCCCAACAACGGGCTGTGGCCTATTCGGAACTGGGCTGCACGAGTGGCTGGACTACTGGGCCATGGCCTATTTGGAATTGGGCCACCAAGCTGCAAAGGTTGGGGACCACTGCTCTGAAGCATTGCAATGAACTTGATTCCATCTTATGTAATTTCATAACTGATAGCAAAGGGCATCAATAGAAGAAAGAGATACTTCTCCCAGAGCCTGGTTCTAAGAGATTGAATAACATCTGTATTTAAACCAATCAAGACATTATAGATGGTTCTGTGTGGACAACTGATATATTTTTCTATCTGGTAGAGAAAAATAGAACACTGAACTTTTGTTGACCTTCCTCTGCTTATTCTTCTACCATAATATTATCCTGCACCATCCAGCTGATGTGGTAGAAGTTAACTTGATCCTTCTCTCTCTCTCTCTCTCTCTCTTTTGCATATCATGATTGATCTACTTCAGTCTTCAGTGATCAGGAAAGAAAGTTTCTATAAGTGAAAAGAGTGGCCATGACTGCGGCCAACCAGTTCATGTTTCTAGGACCAGTACTTAATTACAACCTGAAAATGAGTTGGCAATGTGGTGTGATTAGAAGAAAGGGAAATGAAATTTTAAAATCAAATGAAGCACAATGTCTGAATCATGGGAATGACTTGATTCTATTTTGTAACAGATCCAATATGTCACCCATATTAAAAGGGGTTTGTTTTGTTTTAAAGTCTCCAGCCTATTGTATCAGCAGGGGTTTGGTCCTTGTGCCTTTAACAAAGACGGCAATAAGCTGGGATAGAACATTACCCCAAATTGCAGTCTCTTGACCTTGAATGCCCCTCTGTGAGTTACAATAGTCTGGGCCTCTGCAGCTGCCTCATCAACAGGTAGCTGTTGATAGGCCTGTGCCAGGTGAAGTTTCGCAAAAAAAGTTTCGCTCCCCCTTGAGGGAGGCCAGGATGTGGCTTACAACAGGGACTGGATAAGCGTGCTGTTGCAATGCCTTATTCAGTGTACACTTGTAGTCTGCACAGATACGTATTTCCCCATTAGCCTTTAGAGGCGTTACTATGGGAGTTTTCCATGGACTAGAATCAACATGTTCTAAAATGCCCTGCTGGAGCAATTTGTCCAGTTCAGCATCTATCTTGCCTTTGATGGCAAAAGGTACCCTCCTAGGCTTAACCCTGATGGGCGTGATGTTTGGGTCTAATCGTAGTGAAATTGGGGGGCCCTTGTAGGATCCTAACTCTGAGCTAAACACATCTGCAAATTCCTTGCAGACTTCTGCAAGACTTTTGCAAATGGTGCAGCCCCATGACCTGGATTCCCAGGGCCTCGAACCAATCGAGTCCAATAAGACCCATGCGTTCACTCCCAACAGCCACCACACCCAGGAGACCTTCAAAATCCTTATGTTGTACTTTAGGAGTGGCCTCCCCCTTAACACACACCACAGAATTCTGAAAATCTGTAAGAATTAGTTTGGATGGCCTGAGTTTAACTCAAAAGCCACTGCTGCTGCATATCCTTCTAAAGGTATTAATTGAAATAATGGAAAGAGCGGACCCTGTGTCCAGCTCCATCAATAAGGGAACCCCTTGCAACCTTACGTTAATGGAAAGTTTCTTCTTAAGGGGCTTGTGTATCCCTGTTCTTAAAATACTCCTGCGCGATGCACAGAACCCCACCCTATGCTGGTTGGGGACCCTAGTACTTTTCAGACGCAATTCTTCACAAGGTTGGACCTTCTGGCGACCCAAACAGACAGATGCGATGTGGTCTTGTTTGCCACACGCTCTGCAAATGACAGAGCGAAACCTGCAGTCAGCTCGCTTGTGGTGTCCTCCGCACCCGAAGCATTGAAGAGCTGCTGGGACCTAGTCCAGATGTTCCTTCTGCCTCTTTCCAGTTGACTGGTGAAGCTTATCCACCTCTTCTTCAGGATCCGCTTCTGATTCTTCTCAAGTGTCCTCTTGATGTACTGTAGCTGTTTCTGGAGGGTTCCTAGTGGGCTGTAAGGCCTTCACAGCCCCGCCTTCTGCTTCCTCTGCTGTCACCTCTCTCAGAGCATCTTGGAAAGAGACATCTTCTTTTGCGAAGATCTTCTGCTGTAAGTCTCTGCTCCTCAAACTGCATACGAAACAATCTCGCAGCCTCTCTTCCAGATCCTTGAACTCACAAGGTCTGGCTGCTTGCCTTAATGCCGCAATAAAGTCCGCAGCAGATTCACCCGGCCTCTGATCTCTCTGCTCGAATGCGTGCCTCCAAGCAATGATGGACAACTTCGGCTGGAAGTGTTCCTTCAACATTTTCTTTAAATCAGCATATGTTACTGACTCC